AGCCTTTTTTTTTTTTTTGTTTAAACCGAAAAAGGGGAAATGATGGAGGAAGGTCATTGGCTAATAAAGGAACTGCCCTGGCCCATTTTATTGGTTAGAAGATAGGTGGGAGGAGAAAACAGAACAGGATACTGGGAGGAAGAGGAAGTGAGGTCAGAGACTCCACAGCTCTCTCGGGAGCAGACGCCAGAGAGAGACGCCTCAGAGAGAGACGCCATGCTCCTGGCTCCTGGGCAGACGCATGCTATGAAGCTCCGACCCAGGATGGACTAGGCTAAAATCTTCCCGGTAAGACCGGTTCTCACAGATTATTAGAGATGGGTTGATCGGGATAACAGGATTAGCCAGTAAGGGCTAGGGCTAAAGGGCCAAGCAGTGATTAAAAGAATACAGTGTCTGTGTAATTATTTTGGGCATAAGCTAGCCGGGCAGGCGGCCTGGGGTGCTGAGAACGCAGCCCTGCCGCCCCTATTACTACAGTAGGGTGTCAGAGTCGCCCTTCAGAGCTGCACGGGAGCGCTCTGAGCTCTTGCTTTCGTTGCATAAAGACAGATGAGATTTCTATGGTGCAGAGCTGGGTGTTTAGATGCTGGGGATGGAACAGAGGAGAAAGCTGATGGAGAAGCCAGACCACATCAGGCAGTGATGTCACATTCCTGGTATCACTGTTTTCATCCTTAAAGTGGGAGACGAGACAGGCTGGGAGGTGGTGAAGTTCTCTCGCTGATGGTCAAGAGGACAAAGGGGAACTCTATGATTGTCGGGCTGCGAGGTTTCTTTTCTTTCTGTGGATCATGGGGTAATGTGCCAATATCGATCCCCTCACGTTCAGAAATCAGAAAGGTGATAGCTGCATTACACGTGAGCACCTTACTGTATAGGCTTCATACAGGTGGGTGGTGGCTAGTCCTCCATCAGAGCAGCAAGCTCTTGTTCTGCGACCTAAGGTCTCTTGTTTTAGAAGATGCTTGAGCACATATTTTGTAGGTATTTCTGATTGTCTGGCACAACCCTAGAAGTAAACAGTCAGGGCCCCTCCTCGCATACACACACCCCAACTGTTCCTTGTTCCTTCTATCTGATGGACTCATCCAAGGGACAGGTGAAGAAGGGTCGTATGTGGGAGTCGGAGTCGTATGAACACTCCTGTCCTCTAGAGCAGGAATATCAGCGCAGAGACCTGTTTGTGCTTTCTAATAAGGACAGCAGATTCTTTAAAAATACTTTGATTTCTTTGTTTTATGTGTTTTCCCTGCATGTAGGTATGTCTGCACCACAGACACGCCTTGTTCCCTCAGAGGTCAGAAGAGGGTGTCGGATCCCCTGCACCTAGAGTTATGGTTATGAGCCACTATATGGGTCCTGAACTCAAACTGGGTCCTTCCTCGGGCAACAAATGCTCTTAACCACTGAGCCACTTCTTACACTTCAAGGATAGCATGTACTCTTAACTGTACCATTGGTTTCTTTTTTTTTTTGTTAAATATTTATTTATTTATTATGTATACAATATTCTGTCTGTGTGTATGCCTGCATGCCAGAAGAGGGCACCAGACCTCATTACAGGTGGTTGTGAGCCACCATGTGGTTGCTGGGAATTGAACTCAGGACCTTTGGAAGAGCAGGCAATGCTCTAAACCTCTGAGCCATCTCTCCAGCCCCATTGGTTTCTTTTTTAAGGGTCCCCTGGCTGACCTTGAAGTTGAGCTCCTTTTGGCTCACCTCCCAAGTCTTTGAATTGCATATTTGTATCTGTAAATGGTTTGCATTGTTGAGGTTTTTAAAATATTTCTAATTTTTACTGCATATGTAAATCATACCTATTATGTAAGTTGCTTTTCCCTAAGCAAATGCCTTTCTTTTCAGGCTAATCATCTTCCCCAGAGATCACATCAATTGAACTTCTAATTAAGTTTTGCCAAGTATTTGATCCTGTGAATCTCATGAAATGTGCCGTGTGCTCCTGCACTCCTTCAACCTCGAAAGAACCCTTTGTGACAATAAACCAGTGTCTCGTAATTCTGTTTGACTCTCTGTCTTCAGTTCACCCTGTATTCTAATGTTAGAGAACCCGGCACCAATATCTTGGAGATAAGAGGTTTAATTTTTCTGGATATCAGTTGATAAAAACAAATATGACTTGAATTCTGAGCTTTGGAAAAAGAATGTAAGTCCTTCAAATAAACAATATTGCTTTAGCTCCATTCCGTGCTCTCTGGAGGACAGGTGTAAACACCGACAGTTTGCTTACTGTCCTGCTCCGTCCTTTATTACAGCTGTGGCTCTCCAGTGCTGGTACTGGGCTCCTGTAATTCAGCTCTGGAAGCGCCTCCCCCAGGGTGCGGAAGGTTTCGCACTAATGTGTATATTTTGCTTTATTGGTGTGAGTCTGCACGCGTGTTGCATGTGGTGCACATGCATGCATGTTCTTCAGTCACGCTCCACCCAATTTTGTTGAGTTGGGGTCTCTGACCTGAACCCGGAGATCACAGATTTGCTGGTCTTTCCCAGGCTGGGGTTCAGCTCATAGCCCCCCACTTTGGCTGGCTCACAACTGCCTGCAGTGCTGGCTCTGGGGCATCCAGGGTCCTTTTCTGGCTTCCGAAGGGGGCCCATATAGAAGTACACATACACATACACACACACAAACACACATACATTTCTTGGAGACAGTAAAAAAAAAAATGAATCTTGCTTTTCTAATCCAATCTGCTAGTCTGTGTCTCGTTATTGGGTAGGTAATTGAGATGGTAAATTAAAGACATGCATTAATTTCTATCACTTACATTTTCTTAAATCTTTTGACTGATTGTTCTTAAACTGTTTATATATTCCGGTGTTCTCTTGCTGGTTTTCATCCTTTTCTTCGATCAAAGTGTTTGTCCCAGTGTCCTCTTCAGAGGTGGCTCAGTGCTCACACATTCCTTTCGTCGGTTGTTGTGGCGACTGTTCTCTCCTTCTAGTACAGCTGATAGTGTTGTGGGGTCCAGGAGTCTCGGTTGACATCTGAGGTCATCAGTCCAAGCCCTTCTGGCTTTTAAAATCTCCACTGAGAAGTCGGTTGTTCTCACGGGCTTGCTTTTATAGGTGGCTTGTTTCTCTCTTGAAGCTTTCAGTGTCCTGTCTTGTTCTGTACGTCAGAGTTCTACTATATGGCATGGGGGATTTCTTTTCTGGCCCTGTCTAACTGGTGTTATGCACATACACGGCACCCTGATAGCCATTTCTCTTTTCTTATATTTGGGGGGCTTTCTTCTATGATTTTGTTGAAAACATTTTTGTGCCTTTGACTTGGGTTTCTTCTTCTCTGTGATTCAGTTTCTGTTATCTTACACTGTCTGGGAGTTCCTGCATGTTCTGTTCATGGGTTTGGTTTTATTTATTTTTTAGATTTAACATTTTCTTTGACTTAGTTATCCAGAAACACCTCTACCTTGTCTTTAAGCCATGATATTCTCTTTCCCATGCCATCTATTTGATTTACTGAATTTTTGATTCTGAGTTTTATTTCATTTGGACTTTTCTTCAGAAATTCTCTTCAATTCAATTTTCATATGTTGAATTGCTTCCTTTATTTCATTCAACTATTTTCCGTCTTCATTCTGGCATTCATTCATATCCTTTCTGAGTTCCTTCAAAAATATTTATACAGCTATTTTGAAATTGTTTTTTTTGTCATTAATTTGCTTTTCTCAGGGAATATGAGAATACACACTTTTGGAGATGTTTTATCTTGGTCATTCATATTGTTTGTGTTTTGTGGTAGTACCTTAATCTGGAGATTTGGTTTTTGGTTGCGTTTGATACATTATCTGTTCCGTCCTTGTTGAGTGGGCACTTGAATTGGTTTTGCTCTCACCTAACTTGTCAGGTTGTTATGGGCCATCAGAATAGTGCTTGGGGTTCCGACTGGGGGCCGCTCAGTGTTTATGTATAAATGGAGTGCAAATTTAGGGTCCATCCTATTCCTGCACCTAGGTCTCCAAATGCCTGTCCAACATCAAACAAGAGACTGGTCTCAAACCAAGTGGAAGTGAGTGAGAGGCCCAGGTCCCCAGATTCAGTAAGTCCATAGCCCTAGCACAACCCCCAAGCAGCTTGGCTCCAGGTCCAGAGCCAGGGAAAGAAACACACCCTGAAAACGGGACCAGAGCCGGGGAAGAGACAGTTTGTCCCCAAACCTAGAGCCAGAGAAAAGTCCCCGGACCCTGAAACTAGGACCAAAAGAACTCACTAAGTCCCTAGATTCAGGACATACCAAAGATAGTTGCCTTGGCCCCCAAATTAAGGCTAAAAAGGTAGAAAGAACCAGAAAAAGAAACACAGTTTGGCCTCAAAAAGGGAGCCATCTCTGCCCCTGACTTGAAACCACCAATCCCTGAACAGGGAAAACAGACCAATCAAAGCCTAAGGCAGTTACTGACAGTTGGGAATTACCCTTACATCATTGGACAGCGGTCAATCAGAAGCTTGGAAGTCTGGAATTCCCCTCACCACTAGGGGGCAGCCAATCACAAGCCCCAGGGCTTGGAATTCCCCAAGCCTCTGCCCCTATATAAACCTGTTTTCTTCCAAAACCACAGAGAAACCCTGTCTCGAAAAACCAAAAAAAAAAACAACAACAAAAAAAAAAAAACAAAAAAAAAACCTGTTTTCTGCTCTGGGTCTCTCCTGTGCTGCTTCAGATGGGCGTAGGGACCCGAGTTAACGAGTGAATAAAGACTCTGTTTCTACATCGGAGTCGGTCTTGTGGTGTAACAGTGGGGACCACACCTGAGGTTGTCTTCTGACCTTCAGATGTGGGCACAGTGGGTGCCAGGCACGAAAGACTTACAAAGGGCAGGGAGGCAAACCACGGGAGAGCAGTCTAGCCGTGGACAGGAGCAGTGCCTGCCTTGGTCGCAGAGGCGCCTGCGTGGTGCTGTGGATAGGAGCAGTACTCTCTTCTGATTGACACAGTCCATGTAAGTGAGATTTCTTTTTCTCTTTATTTCCTCCCATATACAAATGAAAATAAAGCAACCTCTTCATAAACCCACATTCTAAATTCAGTTTTTAAAAAATTAACTTTGTGGGTATGGATTTGGGCACACGTGCCAGAGCACACATCCAAGCACAACTTCGAGGAATCAGTTCTCCCTTCTGCCATGGTCCTGGGGACTGGACACAGATCACTGGGCTGGTGGCAGGCACCTTCCTATTTAACCATCTCTTTTCTTCCTTTCTTTTTTGAGACAAGGTTTTCACAACGCAGCCCTGGCTGGCCTGGAATTTGCTATCTTACAAGCTGACCCGCAAAATATAGAAACCAGCCTGCCTCTGCCTCCCAAGTACAGGAATTAAAAACATATACCACCACACCCAGATAAATGGAAATCTTTTCATTTTTGAGGGATTTATTTTTATTTTATGTATATAAGTGTTTTGTCTGAAGGTATGTATGTTCACCAGATGCATATCTGATAATCCTTGGAGGCCAAAATAGGGTGTTAGATCACCAAGGACTGGAATTTACAGATGGTTGTGAGCTACCGTGTGGATACTGGGAATGGAACCCAGGTCCTCCGCAAGAGGGCACCATGAACTCCTAACTGCTAAACCATCTCTCTAGCACCTAAATTAAATTCTTATATGACATTATCGGATTTTTTTTCATGTTTTCAGACAGAAAATGCTTTTTGTTTTCTCTGGTTACACAAATTGCATGATTATAAACCAGCTGCTTCAAATACAGGCCAACCTACCTGCGCATGTGAGACATGAAAACAAACCCACTGTAGGCCACAGCCAGCAGCACCATTTTATTTTACAGTGTTTACTGTAGTCAAGGTTACTGTGGTGAGATGTTAGTGGTTTGGGTCCATATTTTATTTTCCATTTGAATTAGAAACACATTAGTTAAAAAATAAATTTTTATGATTCCATTTTCTTGACCATTAGAATATTACAGTTTCAAGTAACAAAAGATAAAAATAAAAACATCGCAGATTAAATCTACAGATATGTACAGCATGAACACATTTAATTACCACAGTCATTAGCAAGTCCTGACGTCACCTCTTCAGCCTGGAACTCATTCAGAAGCAGTCACTGAGAGACCTCTGGGATCTCCCTGTTATCCACAATGAGTGTGTGGATGATCCCTTCTCTTCTCTTCCCGCTGCTCACGGCTTTTATGTAACAATCATGGTTCCCAATTCTGAAGTGTGTTTCAGTCCCATCGTCTACAAACTCGCCCTAGGACAGCAACGGAGGAAGCATCAGTGTCCAGAAATACTTGTCAGAGCACTGACATCATCTAAAAAGTACCGGTCGTAATGTCAAACTTTGAAATCAGAGCCCAAAGATTATGTTTAGAGCCCTGTGATTTGCTGTAATTTTCAAAATCTAGAGAGATTTTAAGTTTCAGGAGAAGAAAGTTCTGTGTCTGCAGTGTGGACAATGTTTACAAAACTAAATGGTGAGTGTGTCAAAAACATTCTCAGTTACGTGCACTATCCTAGCATAGGGGCATCGTGTCACAAGAGCTGCCATAAGTGATATTATTATCCTCATTTTATAGATACAGAAACTGAAGAGCAGCAAATTTAATAACTTGCTGAAAGCCTGTCCTGTAAGACAGAAGAGTTCCCACCAGAGCTCAGGAGACAGGCAGAGACAGGTGACTTCTCCAGGCGTATGGTTAGCACACACTCAGTGTAACCAACAGCTCTGATCATGTACTGTAAGAGGGTACGTACTGTAAGCCCACCCAGGCATGCCCTGGGGCACTTTGAAGGAGCCTGTGGAAGGCCACACAAAGGTTGCTAACACAGTCTCTCTAAGTTCCTTCTTGGCAATTTCACCCATTAGTGACGATACTGGGGTGAAAACAGCACATGCTACATGGGAGTGGGACAGTCTGGGCATGCTGCACAGGGCAGGCTGAGATAGGGAAGCTGCCTGGAAGCTTCTGCCGTTGTAGCTCCAAGCAGGCAGTGAGTGGGGTTACAGAGGGCTGTCTTCACACTGGCTTCCTGCCAGTTACTAACAACAAGCGGATCATAGATTTTACTTTATTTAAAGTCACATGTACTTACTGAAAACCATTATTCTGTACAAATGACATACATTAATACTTTCTAGAAGCCCGCCTTACTGTTAGTTTTTCAGAGGTGAGGACAGAACTGAGGGTCTCACACGTGTTAGCTAGATGAGTGCCCTACTACTGAGCTACAACCCTAGCCTTGATTTACTGTGTTAAGATTCATTTTAATAACAGCAACAACAACAAAAACACTTTGAGAAGCAGGTGTTGTGGTGCACACCTTTGATACCACAGGCAGGTGGATCTCTGAGTCCAAGGCCAACCTGGTCCACAGAGTGAGTTCCAGGACAGCAGAACAGCCAGGGCTACACAGAGAAACCTTGTCTCAAAAGAAAAAAACAACACCAAAAAACACCCCAAGTTTTATTTTTATGTATTTTTAAATTTTATGTGTCTGCACACTTTGCCTGCATGTATGTCTGTGCACCACATGTGTGGTTGGTGTCAGCAGAGGTCAGAAGAAGGCACTGGACCCCTTGGAACTGGAGTTACAGATGTTCTGTGCATGTGTATGAATATGCCTTTTACATGGCACTGGGAATCCTAATCCTAACTCAGGCCCTTGTGTATGCCTGGCAGTTTAACTGACCCCAACCACAGCTCTCATCCTCCCCAGAGCCAAACCCCTTGTCTAGAATGAGGAACTGTTAGTCACACACACTAGGAATATGTAAATGGTAACTTACTGCTGTCTCCATTTTTTGGCCATTGCACCATACATCCATAGTATCTTTCTCTGTAAAAGCAACATAAATTCCAAAAGTTATAGTTCTATATCGAAGGTTAACCTCTTTTTTTAAAAGCTGAATTAACTATATTTCTAAACTGCAATCGCTGTTCTAAAACTCAATACTTTCAACATCTTTGAAACTCAAAATTTGAAGAAACTTTGTTCATACATGAAACCAGGTTTTTAAAAATCTTTTCTTTTGTTGAGATTTGAGAAAGGATTTCTCTGTGTAGCTCTGGCTGTCCTAAAATCGGAAGACCAGGCTGGCCTCAAACTCACAGAGGGCTGGGATTAAGGTGTGTACCACCATGCCTGACTTAGAAATCTTTTAAGAGAAAGTCAGTCTCATCACAGCGTGATAAAAATCTTGTTAAAAGAGATTCTAAAGGACAGTCTTTTTAAAGGGGTTACAGACAAACGAATGAGGGAATGAGGAGGACCTGGTTCCTAGGAAACTGACTAACAAATAAAACCAACATCGGAAATGTGATTTAGCCTCACTGACTAGATGACTTCTGCCTCCCGCACTGACAGAGCTACCTGGATGATGGCGTAAAGACCATAGGCCTTGGGTTTGCAGAAGGCAGAGTGTAGGAACTCAGCTTTTAGTTGCTTGCTGGACAGGACAATAATCCTATTTTATAGTGGTTTTACTTTGGAAAAAACTATTAGATTGTAAGAAAAAATAGATTAAGCATGTGCACTCTACAGTGTGGAGACACAGGGAACACAGGGCTGCTGCGGCAACCTCATGCCGCAGTTTGCTACCATAGTTGACTGCCAGGTGGGAGTCCCCAACACTGCCGGTCAACATTAGTGTTCCAAGATTTAGCTGGAAGAAGACTGTGATCTCCAAGGAGCCTGATGAGGAAGCACAGCGAGAGCCTGTGTTTGTGACCTGCACGGGCACCAGGCTCCAAGGACAAGGCTGTCCCTGGGTCATGTGTGAAGGTCCAGCCAAGGGTGTGACTGGCAGGCCACCTGCGGCAGGGGCACAAGCCAAAGGGGCCTCTCTTCTCAATACTTCCTCAGTCAGATGGCGCTTCATTTAAACTACAGGGAGTCTTTGAGGTGGGCTAAATGTGACAAGGGGAAGGCAGTGGTGACCTCAAGGTATGTGCAGGGTTGGTCACCCCAAAGGCAGTCTGAATGTGATTCCCTCATGGTCAGATGCAGGGAAACCCAGCAGATTTCAATACATGGCTGAGCATCCAGTGTTGAGACCAACGACAGTGGCAGTGAGAACTGGCCATTAGTCTATTTACTGAACGTGCACACATATTCAGATTATCCAAATTATCTACAAGGGTTCTCTGATGTGCCCATGAGGAACATGGCTAATCCAAAACCATAAACGAAAAATACATTTGAAAGACCATGGACATACATAAGCAATGTCATATAATAATGAGCCAGCATTGGATTTTGAGGCCATTTCAACATTCAGAACAAAAAACATTCAACTGCATTGACTCTCTAGCTCAGTGGGTCTCAGCCTTCCTAATGATGTGACCCTTTAGCACAGTTCCTCAGGTTGTAGCGACCCCCAACCATAAAATTATTTTGTTGCTATTTCATAACTATAATTCTGCTACTGTTATAAACAAGGATTCAGGGACCACTCGAACAAGGAGTCCCTCAGTGGTTCAAAACCGTACATTTTTATGGCTCAAACCTGTTAACCAAGCATTTGGGAGGCAGAGGCAGGAGTATTAACAAAAGTTTCAAATCAGCCTGGGTGACAGTGAGCACCAGGTCAGCAGAGACAGAGCAAAACCCAGTCTCAGAATAAACACACACGTACACAAATTCCCCTCTCCCAAAAAGGGACATTTTAATGATTAAAGAACATGGTAACTGCAACGTACTAAAGTGAAGTAAATTGTTTTATTTCTGTGTTAACAATGATTTAAAACTGGAAACAATTCAGTAGTTTGAAGGCTGGAGACTGCAGGGAGTAGCAAAGCTACACTGCACTTCTACAACAGGAAATGCAGGTCTGTGCAACGGGCTTGTGACTGGGAGTTTCTAGTTAGACAAACGTCTAGATAGGAAGCAAAGAATGAAGGAATCCAAGAACCACAGCTGGCAACAACTGATGGATGAATGGTCTAGGCATTAAGTATTACGTTTAATCCTAGTGTCAACTTATCTGGATCTGGAACTAACCAGAAGGTAAGCCACTGGGCATGTCATAACGTTCCTGATCAGGTAATTGGGAAGATCCAAGCTGAATGTGGGCGGCACATCCCAGTGGCAACCCCTAGTGCAAAGGGTTAAAGGAAGCTCTGCCTTCGCTCTACATAAGTGTATCCACCCTGATGCTGCTGCATCATCCTTCACTGATATCAGGGCCCAGCTTCAGCAGGCTTCCACTGTGGACTGAGACCAGTGGGGTCTCAAAGAGTTCTCCAGACCTTCAGTGGCGTACTGCTAAGGCATCAGATTCACAGAATGAACCAGAACTTCAGCCTGGCCAGTGTGGGACCGACATTAGTGGAATACCCAGATCATAGCAGATAAGCCAATCTGATAAATCTCTCTCATACACACACACACACACACACACACACACACACACACACACACACGTTCACTCTATTAGATTCTGTTCCTCCAGAATCTACTAATAGAGAAGAGAAAGAGAATGATAAACTGTATGCTTCAAGATACCAGCAATCTGTAAGTTGGTTTTGCCAGAAAGAAAATCCAATAAAAACTCAATCTGACAATTCTTCAGTTAGGTATCACTTTACAGAAAATATGGGAGAGTTTTACAATCCACAGGCATTCAATCAGCAAAACCCAGGTCACACTACAAGCTAAGCTGACTTTTTATAGTAAGTAATTAATTTAGGTTCTTTTATTTTCTTCCCCCCCATTTTAAGGATAGTTTTACTCTGTAGCCCAGTTAGCCTCAACCTTCTGGTTCTCCTGTCTTAAGTCTCTGGAGGGTTGGTATTTCAGGTATGAGCCACCATGCCTGGCTTTTAGTTTTTTTATGTGATTTATCAGATAATAAACATTTTCTCATCTAAAAAAAAATTCAAACAAAAACCCTATTTGCTAGCACCCAACTAGAATGTGGACCATTACGACACAGTCAAAGTTCCTTCTGTCTGTGCATCCTCAATCCTTGGTAGACAGACTACCTTCCTTTTCAGAGGCAGTTAATAAATAGGATCTAAATAAATGAATTAAGATGGTTTATTAGACCATTTTAATTTCATAATATGGGGATACCAGAATAGTGAAAAGGTTACTTCTTAAAAGCCTACTTTTAGCTGGACTTGGATGGCTCTGATCTAATGGAACCCTAGACCTACTATTACCTGCTGAAGATGCTTGCCCTAGTGATGAATCTTAAATTTCTAACTGCTTTTTATTTATAAAGAGAAAAACCAAACAATCAGTGCCTGCATTAGTATCACTTCTTAAGCCCAGAGTTATAGTCATCAAAGCCAACCTTATCAAACCTGGAATTACGACACTATATACAAAACCCAGTGGGTTAAATGACTCCCCATTCCTGCAGGAAGGGAGAAGTACAGTGGGGCTTACATTTCCTCTCAAGTGAAAGTGCCCAGAGCAGTCTGTGGGGCAGGACATCATCAAGGCCAAAGGGTTCTGTAGAAGCAGCCCCGACTCACCCAGAACCACTCTGCAGTCCTCGCCGTCCAAGTGCAGCACCCAGGTGTTGGTGGTCTTTGATCTGTTCTCCATGTACTTCTTAAGGCTTTTCCCATCGATCTCCAGAGTGTACTCATATGCAAAACCACTGACAGCATCTATGTTTATGGTGGCTTTGGTTTTTGCAGCTCCAACACAGAAGGTTTCTTTGCCCACCAATTTGAACATCCATTCTTTTCTTATTTCTTCCTAGATAATAATGTATAAAAGTTTCATAAACGCAAACAGAAAATTTAGTATTTAATTTTTTAAATAATGTAAAAATTAAGACTGTCCAAATGGCAATACTATTTATATTTTTATTATTTCATGTCAAGGTTCCACAAAGTGGTCATTCTAAGTTTAAATGTTAGATGTTATAGTCTGCGTATTCTGTAACGACCATATAAATGAAAAACAACCACAGTCAGAAAAAAAATCCTTACTTTTTAAGAAGCTACACTGACAAAACCAAGCTTCATTGTCACATTGTACAAAGTCACACGTTTTCCTACCTTCCCATCCACGTACACAACTCGTTTGCCGGATGTGGTCCCATGCTCAAATTCAATCTTGTGGATTCCATCACTTAATGCAACGTCCCACACAGCTACAAGGTCTGTCATTTTTTCCAGGCTATAAAGAGGGCTAAAGGAACAAAACAAAGCCATTAAAATGAGCAAAAACAGTAAGAGAATGACTAAATTCTCCCACCATGACAATACCAGATTTTCAAAGGTCCTAAAATTATAAAATAATAAAATGATATTTCTTGATATCCCACTCACAGTACATGTAACTGTTTTCTCTCTCTCTCACTGGCTCATTCCTCAAGAGACAACTATGCACAGGTATAGTCTAATAATCCCAAAGTCACCTTAATGCTAATAAGATTAAGACTGAATCCCCGCCAGCACTCTGGGCTAGGCTGGGCTAGTACAGGGAAAGGTCAGTAAAAGCCTCCACTTGATGACCATCTTCACAAAAAAACTTGTTTTTCCTTTTTCAGATCAGATCAATCCCAAACAAAAACTCTTCAAACTTTTCAGAACCAATGCCTTGGGATTTGTTTTAACATCAACAAAAACAACAAAAAAAGCTGTTCCAATTTGGTATTCAAAAGCTGTAATGGAAAAATTTGATACTGATACAGATTTATTAGTTTTGAGAAGTAACATGTTCTGCAATAATGGGGTCACAGCTGGCTGCAAATCCAGGACTCCGACTCCAACACTGCTCTCTCTGTGTTTCCTTCTTGGCTCGTTTTAATCTTTGCATGCTCTAAATAATGTTCAAGTGATTGCATGACTTCTGTGCCAAGAATTGATGGAAGACGATGCCACATATACGGTGGCAACATCCTTGTGTAAGTCAGAAAGCAGACTCTGCCTTCTGCAATGACACAGACCACGCCTCCAACAGACACAGAACTCTCTGGACCTATCCTAACAATCCCGGGACTGTCAAAGGCTAGTTTTATTGCAAAACAAAGCATTTACCTTTCATCATCTTCAAAGATAGGACTGTCATCTCCAGATGCCATGGTTAGCAACAGTCTGCAATCCAATTAGCAGCCAGGAAAGAGAAAAGCAGAAAGCAGCAGAGAGAGGTTGGGAGCAACAAAGACAGCTACAAAGGGCTTTTTAAACTTTGCAATCCTTTCAGAAGTTGCCTGTATGCTCCAATGAAGCTACAGTTAAGTACAGCAGAGAGGCAGGCTTTGTTTTCAGAAAGAGTTTGAACACACAAATTAGCCAATTCCACTTTTCTATCTTAAGCATTTATAATTTCTTAAAAATAAGTTTATTAAAACAGGGTAATAAACTCGAGTTTATCTGGAATATTACATCATCTTCGAGTTGCACATTAGAGGCTAAAGCCAGTCCCACTCCCGGGTGTCTCAGCCTGGAACACAGAAGCCCCGTGGGTCTGCGGCAGTGCTTCAGGGAGCATATCAATGTTAGACAAACAGCTTGGTCCAGTGAATATGGAAACCTCCAAAGCAAACACGATGGCAGCATCAATACTCAGGGTGAAATTTAAAACCCAATTTTATAGTTAGATTTTAGAAAGCGAAAACATAATTTAAACCAGTTTCCTCCAAAGGAATTGTGAATGTGTGTGACGTAGCTAGGGATATGCTGGCCTGCTGTGTGGGAGCAAAGTTTATTTACTCGTTTACACAAGCTAGTAGGTCCACAGTCTGAAGACTCATTCAGTTTATCAGAGAGTCTCACCTAGAAGCAGAGACCAGGACCGGGCAACGAGGGCACTGCTTGGGTGTTGGTTTCACAAGGCAGAAGTGCGTCTACACTTAGGTGCGCAGTAAACACAGCATGGAGGAGGCTGCAGCACTAAGGAACTACTCAGAAGCGTGCAGACGCTAACAGGCACAGGAGGCGCATATGAGAGAGCTACAGCGAGCAGCCTGCTCCTGCAAAGCTATTAGGAATTTGGCTGTGTTTTGCTCCCCAGGCCTAGCCCAGTTTTAACACTCTCCTCAACAAGTGCCTTCGCCCCTTGGATGACCAAAGGCGCTCAACAGTGAGAGACTGTCAACCCCTTTTGGAAAAAGTCAGGAGTCACAGATTGCTTTTCCAAGATGTTAGAGAAGAAAGGTTTCTATGCATGGCAATGGAATACAGTCAGGGGTGTGAAAGAACTGCTGGAGGCAATCTCCGAAAATCAGAGAGAAGGAAGGGATGGCACTCAAATTTTGCTATTATACAACTTTTAGATTGTTCGCCACTCAAACCTAAAACTGTTGGTGTATTATGGATTATAAAGAACTCCAAGTACTACTAAGATGCACTAAATAAGGCATGGAGGCTAGGGAGACGGCTCAGGGGTTAAGAACACATACTGCTCTTCCAGAGAACGCTAGTTCTGTTCCTACCACCCAGGTCGGGCAGCTCACAACCACCTGTAACTCTAGCACTAGGAGGGCCTGCTGTCTTCTTCAAGACTCTTTGAGGGCACCTGCACTCGAGTGTATGCGGGTACCCCCCACAGACATACGCACATAATTTAAAAGTAAGATTTTAAAAAGATGACTCACGGAATCACCTTGATTATAACACCTTTTCTAATCCAAGCATAAAAGACACCGAGTCACTGGTGTGATGGAGCATGCTTTTGATCCCAGTACTTGGGAGGCAGAGGCAGGCAGATCTCTGTGAGTTTGGGGCCAGCCTGGTGTACAGGTTGAGTTCTGGGACAGTAAGGGCTATGTAGAGAGATCCTATCTAAGAAAGAAAGAAAGAAAGAAAGAAAGAAAGAAAGAAAGAAAGAAAGAAAGAAAGAAAGAAGGAAAGAAGGAAAGCAGGCAGTGAGTCTTCCACAGTGAGTTCAAAGGGAAGTTAAAAACCAAGATTATGTTTTATCTAAAACATTCTAAGCTATTAACAGATATTCATACATGTAACAATTATTCATAGATATTTAGAGATTAGTGATTTTAAGCCTGCCAGGGTGGCGCAAACCTTTAATTCCAGCACTCAGGAGGCAGAGGCAGGTGGATCTCGGTGAGTCTGAGGCCAGCCTGGTCTACAAAGTGAGTTCTAGGACAGCCAAGGCTACACAGAAAAAAACCTGTCTGGAAAAAAACATACACACAAAAAAAATGTGATTTTTTTTTCACTCTCTAATAATTTAGAGTGCACATCTTAGGATTTATATGTGACCATTTATATAAAATGATCAGAGTAAGCAACTACCTGAAAAATTATATTTGTGTATATCAAATTGGCAAAACACAAATTCACAAATCAATACAAAACTAATTTCTATGTGTTTTTTCTATAGATATGGTCAAATAAGAAAAAGGCTGCCTTAATGAAAGTCAGCAGCACTTCAGTTTTTCTATGTTATCTGCTGTTTTTAAGCAAAAGTTTTAATTTTTTGTTTTTATTATTTTTAAATGTGTATGTGTGTGTGCACATAACTACGAATCCCATGGAGGCCGTAAGAGGATGGCAGGGCCCCTGAACCTGGAGTTACATACAGGTGGATGTGCACCTCTGAACTCTGGTCTTCTGCCACAGCAGTAGGCCCTCTTAACCACTTGTCATTGCTCCTGAAGGCTTAAAAGTCCTCTTTTAAAAGCTGCAGAACCTTTATTAGCATTTGTGGCTTCTGAAAGGCTGTGAAGCTTCGATTCCTGAGACATTTTCAAGAAGCGAGAAACCATAAGGTGTTTTCTACAGAAGGATTAGACCTTGCCACAACCCAGCCATACAATTTCTAAAATAAAAGTCACAGTGAAACCCAATGGGCTCACCCCTCTCCCTCACTGTGGGGAAATCACAGGAAGGAGACACCCCTGTAAGGGACACTCACTGCTTTTCCTAGGTTCTTACTTTAACCTGCTCAACTTTCCCACATGGCCAAGAGGGCCCTGGGTGTAAAGAAGCTTCTTCCACAGCATCCCATCTCTAAATAATCCTCAACAACAAATCTCATACAATGTAGAGAACACGTTCAGAACAACTCAAGAGTCCTGCCTTTGGGTCACTACAAGTTTCACCAGAACTTCCACTATTCTTATGACCTTACACATTTCATCCCAAGTTCAGCACTTTAAAAGTTCGCTGGAGTTGCTCTCTTGGCCCAATAGTTGTGGGTTTTTGTTTGTTTGTTTTTATCACTCTGGCTGTGGGCAGTACTGTGCATAGGAAACCTTTCAGTTTCCCCTTTGTTCCATGCCTGCATTCAGATCTAAAGTCTAATGCTACCACTCTGTCATGCGCCACCATCAATACCTGCACAGGTCTGCTTTTAACATAAAACCTTACAAAGCAGCCAACAACTCCCAAATGACTAACGACCTGCTAAGCACTCGGACTCCGTGGAGATGATTTTACTAGAAACTGTATTTCCAAATATCCATTCAGTTAATTATGATGACTTCACCAGGCAGTAACTAACACCGCCCACAATGATATTTGCTTGAGCATTGGTTGCAATGTAGAGGATTTTATATTCGTGTTTACATGCTGTTGCAGGTGACAGATTAAATGCCACGTTAGATCGGTTAAACAGCAAAACAACTCACATTGCCTGTCCCACCGGTGATCTTCCACCTTGAGTAGAGTGAATTGGCTGAGTTTCATTAAACTAATTCATTCCATACCTGAGACAGGTTTCCAAGTCAGCCTTCGCAAGGGGGAGACTACAGAATTCTAGGAAGAGACTACAGAATCCCACTCTGGCCGCTGTAAAATAACAGGCTCCTGCATTAAGCAACTCCAGTTGATCGTATTACAACATTAGAAAGCTTCAGAAATAAAAAGTATCCCCAATGCCAACCTGCACGAAAGAACTAGCCAGAGCCAGCAAGAATGCTGCAGCGGGCTGCTCCCAAGAGCTCCCGTCCGCGGAGTAACTACAGCAGGGTTAGCTCGGCCTCGCGCGCAACCACCGGGAGAAGAGGCGTGTGTTTGGTTCACACCTCCCCCGGGTATTTCGGTCAAGGCCACACGGGACGCGTGTGCTATTGCAACCAGATTCTAACCGATCCGAAGCCGGAGAACCTCGGATCGCACCGCGAATGCTGCACCTGAGGGTCGGCAGATGCGGGGCTTCCACACTGACCGGCCCGGCCGCCCCTCACCCACGCCCTCTGGGGCCTCCTACCCTGAGCCCAACGCGGATCGTAATCTGCCGCCCGAGGCCTGAGCGCCGCGCACCTCGGAGCCAGCCCGCCCGAACCTCCAGTGCCACCTCCCGCGCTCACTTGCCCGGCGCCAGGCCACGGGCTCCCGATCCCGCTGTGCAGTCAGCCGCTAGCTCCCGCGGACGCGCCCGCCCGGCTCCCGCATCCGCAAGCCGGGGTCCCAGCCTCCTATTGCCTTCCGGGCTCACCGAGACACCCACCCACTGCTCGACTGAGCCTGCGCAAGTACGAGACCCCACCACACACACCCCCTCCAGAGGCCCCACCCATCAACCGCGCGAGAGCCAATACCCGATGTCCGCCTCCCGAGGCCCCGCCTATTCTCCGAACTGGAGCCAATCCCGCTTCTCCTGTGCGCCCCGTTGTGTGCCCCGCAGCCGCTAGGACTTACGGGTGGTAGTGTCTTGGTACTGCCCTCTGCTTGTAGCCTTAGGGATAACCCGCACCTCCTGGTTGGGCAGCTCCTCTGCAGACACCCTTTGTTTTCACAGCCCAGCTGGCCTTCCATTCCTTGCAATACGAGCGATCATTTTAGGTGGAAAAGTCCAGCCTCTGGAACACGTCTGTGTTCATCTCTGCGCAACCGCAGATGATGTCTTAGCCCAGAGATTTTTTGCTTGTCTCCTCTCCCTGTTGTAGGGAAATTTCATAGCCTTTCCTTTAAGTGAGATGCTTGAATTTCTCTTCCTGACAGTCAGACCTTGGGGATAGTGCTCAATGATGGGGCACGTAGCTATCCTGGGTGAGGTCCTGGGTAACCTGTGTAGCCCTCTCTGGCTGTCCTGGAACTTGGAATCTGTAGACCAGGCTGGCCTTGAATTTCCAGAGATCTGCCTGCCTCTGCCTCTCAAGTGTTGGGATTAAAAGAATGTGCCACTATCGCCCTGCTACTTAACTTATTTCTTTTATTTTAAAGATATATATAATTCGTGTACACACACAAACACTATATTGCCTCGATTGCAATCCAGGGCTATTGTAAAAGCTCAGGCAAACAATTGCATAGTCTGGGGGGAAAATCTACAAATAAATCTACAAATAAATATTATAAAGTAAAGAAAACAAATCAATTCAGAGATTAAAAAAAAAGTTTGACCAAGCATGGTGGTGCATGCCTTTAAGTCCAGCACTTGGGAGGCAGAGGCAGGAGGATCTCTGTGAGTTCAAGGCCAACCTGAACTCTCCAAAGTGAGTTTGGTCTACAAAGTGAGTTCCGGAACAGCTAGAACTCTTACACAGAGAAACTCTGTCTAGAAAAACAAAACAAAACAAAACAAAACAGGTTGATAAAGATCTTGGTTTGGGAGGGTTTTGTGTTTGTTTGGCTGATATTTAAGAGAGTCCCACTGTATAATCAGTAATAGCCTCACATTTGGCTTCCACTGCTTGGATCTAGTTAGTACTCAGGAGGTTGAGAAGGCCGATTGCAAGTTCCAGGCTATCCTGAGCTCTATAACTGAACTGTGTTTCAAAAACTAAAGTAGTATGACTTCTGCTTTAGTGAAGCAGAAGTATTAGGCAAGATACCCGCATTAAAAACCATTAAAGAGCATTATTAGTCTATCTAATATTTTGAAAATTCTGCCTGACATGGCAATACATTTTTAAAGAAAAGAATACAAATGGAAGAAAACTGGAGAAAACAGATGACGGACACATTGCACCCTTGACATAGAAGAGTTTCTGTGAACATGTTTTTTTAATTTATTTATTTATAATGTATATAATGTTCTGTCTGCATGTATGCCTGCCAGCCAGAAGAGGGCACCAGGTCTCATAGATGGTTGTGAGCCACCATGTGGTTGCTGGGAATTGAACTTAGGACCTCTGGAAGAGGAGCCAGTGCTCTTTACCTCTGAGCCATCTCGCCAGCCCCTGTGAATATGTTTTTAAATACCAAATGATGCTTTAAAATTTTTGGTGAAATATACAAATAGGATATTAAGAGGACAGGAAATATAAATGGTGAATTCAAAAAGAGATTACTATTTCTGATCCCCAGAACTGAAAAAAATTTAATCTTACCACAAACTCAACCAGTTGCAAGTCAAAAATATTTTGTAAGATCTGAGCAGTTGCTAGCATGAGTGAAACCATTGGTCTAATACTCGACACTACAAAGCATACATACAGACTCAGTATGCATACGTGTATACACACATATTTTAATTGGACTGAATATATGCAGATTCGTTATTCCTGTCTTTCTAGTCTACAAATAGAATATGACTATTTATTTATATAGCAATTATATTAGTTATTTTAAATAATCTAGCAGTGATTACGTACATGCATGGGATTGGACATATAGGCTCTGTGCAAATGCAGGGACATTATATATGGAATATTAGTGTTTCTGGATTTTTTTAAGTGCTGGGGATTAAACCCAATGCATCACACATGCTAGGCATATGTGCTACCACTGAGTTAAACCTTCAGCCCTCATCCTTAGATTTCGGTACCTACTGGGAATGGCTGGAACTGATTCTCTGCAGACAGCAAAGGGATGATGACTGTCTATAAACTGAGTGACTTAAATAAGAGAAATATATTCCCTCACAGTTTGGGATGCAACAAGTCCCAAGTCAGGGTGTTGGCAGAGTTGGTTGTTTTGGCTGAGAGGGAAGCCCTTCTTGCTGGTTTTACATCTTTGACAGTCCTTAGTTAATAAAGGTATACCTTCGTCTCTGGCTTCATCTGTGTACGTGTGTGCGTGTGTGCATGCTCACATGCACATGTGTGTGTGTTTGTTGCACACATATGTGAACCATTTTCTTTTTTATAACAGGCAAGTTGAATAGAGTTAGAGACCATTTAGACCAGTTAGCGTCTTCATTTTAACTTTGTAAAAACACTCAGGCAACAAAGTCATATTCTGAGGTTCTGTAAATTAGCACTTCAACATATGAATTTGGAGGAGGGAGTAATTTAGCCCATAACATACAGATACAGAGGAAAACTGAAGGCAGAGGCAGAGTTTGGAGTGATACAGTCACAAGTCAAAGAACAACCAAGGACTGTTGGTGATCATCAAAATAGGCAAAACAGGGAGGAGTTCAGAAGCTTCAGAGGGAGCAGGGCTCGCCAGTGCATCATGTCAGGCCAACAGCCTCTGGAACTGTAAGAGAATGCTTTTCTCCTCCTTCTCCCTTCCTCCTCCTCCCCTCCTCTTCTTCTTCCTCCTCCTCTCCTCCTCACCTTCTTCCTCCTTATCCCTTCCTCCTCCTCCCCTCATCTTCTTCCTCCTCCTCTTCTCCTCCTCACCTTCTTCCTCCTTATCCCTTCCTCCTCCTCCTCTCCTCTTCTTTCTCCTCCTCTCCTCCTCATCTTCTTCCTCCTTCTCCCTTCCTCCTCCTCCCCTCCTCTTCCTTCTCCTCCTCCTCCTTTCTTACTTGTTTTAAGCCACCACTAAGCCTGTGGCGTTCTGTTACAGTAGCAGTAGGAAACTAGTCCAGCAGGCACCTTGAACTTAAGGGGAGCATGTTGAGCGAATGACTACACAGCGCATACAACTACAGGCAGAGGAACAGCTGGAGTTGGGGAAGGAAAGGATCCACATCACAAAGAAACCATTTTTCCTATGAACCATATAGCATCACGTGTTACAGATACTAGTCCCACTCTCACTGACTGACTAGAAATCAAAAGTGGGACAAGGCATCCTTCTTGTTCAAACTTGTTTTGTAACTTTTCCTGGAGTAATATGAACAAATATCCTCTCAGTTCAGGTAGTGGACCAAGCCTTGGCCAAAGAACCTAGTCTAACCATGACTAGCTTGGTGGGCAGATTCGTATATTTTATGGCTTGTGAGGAATTCCACAGAGGCATAAGAGGCGAATCTTATGATTTTCTTCTGAGTTCTTCAAATTTTCCTGAGAGTCTCCTGAGCAACCTCCTATTCTCCCCCCCCCCCCCTTCCCTCCATGAGGAATGTTTAAATATGGAGGAGACAACGTCACACCAGGAAAACTGGCCAGACTTCCTGGTGTGTGCCTAAGGCTGTGCCCAGCCATGCAGAGAATAACATGCTGTGAAAACATGCCCATGACTGCCAGGGACCTTTTATCCTTCCCGTGGGGCCAAGCCACAGCTGCTGCTGTAAGAGATACTCAGCTAAGCCTCCTGATTAAAAGCATTTGCTTCTCTTTGCCATTGGCCCTTCAGGAGTCCCTACATTTTGTTTATACAAGGAAGCATATAGATTTCAAAGTGTGAAGGCATCTAGACAGCCTTGGTACAGTCTCCCCTGACATTCTCACTTCATCCTGCCATGCCCATTGGGATTTTTTTTTTTTTGAGAGGTGGTTCGAGACAGGGTTTCTCTGTGGCTTTGGAGCCTATCCTGGAACTTGCTCTGTAGACCAGGCTGGCCTTGAACTCATAGATATCCACCTGCCTCCGCCCCCTCCACCAATGCTGGGATTAAAGGCGTGCGCCACCATCACCCGGACCATTGGGATTCTTTAAAACAGTCCAAGGTGCCAATAGTTTTTCCTTTGAGCTGCTCTCATCATTCCCCCACCCTCCAGACCCACGCCTTAGGGCAACAGAAAAGTGGCAACTAGAGCAGAAAAGCTATACGGTAAAGAAAATCAAAGTTGTTAAGATGAATAACTACACAAAAGGCTACGGCACTAAGTGCTGATGTCACAAGACGGTAGCCCAAGGTGTGAGAGGCTAAAATAGAAGGATGATGAGTTCCAGATCAGAGCTGGATCCCTTTCTCAGGACATCTGTCTGGAGTTATGTTTGTCTTAAAATGCAGGTTGTTCTCACCTCTGCTTTGGAGCTGAAGATGCCTTTAAACTCCTGGTCCTACTGCCTCAACCACCCTCTTGCTGGGACTGCAAGGGAGCACCACCCTACTGGGCATCAATATTCCTGTTGAAGAATTAATGATTCAACTGATAACATCTACTGTGTATGATGTTTTTTTATTTGTTTGTTTTTTTATTTTTTAAAAAAAAAACTTCTTTTGCATTGGTGTTTTGCCTACATGTATCTCTGTGTGAGGATGCTGGATCCCCTGTAACTGGATTTGCAGACAGCTGTGAGCTGCCATGTGGGTGCTGGGAACTGAACCTAGATCCCCTGGAAAAGCAGCCAGTGCTTAACCACTGAGCTGTCTCCCCTGCCATGCAAGATGTTTTTTGAGATGAGATCCAATTATGGAGCCAAGGTTGGCATCCAACTCAAGAGCTTC